TTTATTTATATATTTATTCGTTAGTGAAATAGTTGCATCAATTGATTTCTATCCAATCTCTATGGATACGACCCTACTCATTGCTACTACGTTTTATATTTTAGACGAGTAGGAATTGATTATTGTTGGTTTCGACACACATCAAATAGAAAGAAAATAAGGGTCTTTTATGTAAAAAGACGAAATGACTAATTAAATAAGAAATTAATGTATTAGAGGAATTAACTTACCCCATTTTTATAATTGCAAAACATATGTTATGAAATTATGACTTTCATTTTCAAGCCGTAATTGGATAATAGTCCAACATCGAACTCATTTACATATACATTGATGTTGAAAATAGTTCTACCATTGCAATAATTTTGTATTTAATGCTTAATAAAAATTTTATCTTTTATGGGATTCGTTCGATGCATGTAGTGCACTAGTTCATCACGACAGGCAGTACAACTAACACTACAACATTCACAATGGGTTATTCATTTTCCATCTAGGTTGTAAACTAATTATTAATGTTTTACAATTAACCAATATGTGATCTTCTGTTTACCCGCGATGAACCACAATATTCAAGTGCAAAGTATCAGGACATAAAACAGTTTAATTTAAATGCGATTCTCATTCAAAGAAATATAGTGTTTATTACGCAAAAAGTCAAGCTTTAATAAGTATATCTACACTAACACTTCGGACTAACATAGGCAGGACAAGGTCCAAAAAGCAAGTTATGCACAACCCGGAGCCGGCGTTTAGCGTAACTCACCCCAACCAGCAAGCACGCACAGCGTGCGGGTCAGCGCGACAACACGATACAGCCGGTGTGCAAATTGCTCGCAGACCCTCGGTGATGCATGCACACACCCCGCGATGACCTGTGTGTAATCAGCAGCAGCTCAACCTCGGTGTTGTCCCAGTTCCAACGATTTTTCCAGCGACGGCGGTAGTTTTTTCCAGTTTGAATGATCAAGAGTCCAAACATATAGAGAAATATTAGTTCAATTAGGTTAGGAATTCCAGTTTCCATTTGGACACTAGACAAATATTAATGGCTACAATAGTTGGATTTACTTTTCTATCTTCTCATTTTTTCAACGCTTTGAATAGTTCCCTCTGAGGTAAAGCTAGCAGTGCGTACTTCCCATACTGATAATCGACCTTAATTTGATCCTCCCTATTTGACTCGCAATCTGCCACCCTTTATCATTTGGTCGTTGTCTATCGACGGGCCGTCTGGCCTTGACTTGTCGTTCTACAAAAATATCTACTTCAACCTCTGTAGATCGATCCATCTGGCAATTGGTGGAATCAGTCTTTCACAACCCCTTTAAGGTTGTTAGGAATGCACGGTAGCAAAATACATCGGTGTACCGGTGACCACTATGTTCTCAAAGATCCTAAGGTGCCTTGTTGGATCGGTCGACCCATCAAAAGTTAGGGTTAATTCGCGGAAGTTGAAGGGTAGGTTGGCCTTCAACACCTCCTCAACAAATGGATGCTCATGATTCTAGGTGCCAATCTACCGCCTCTAGCCCTACTTGCATCTCCTGAATCTGAGCAACTATTCTTTCAAGTGTGGCGTCCTTGGCTGTGGAGATGTTGCCAGCCTAATGGATGTAGTGGATAATTCATACAAGAAAAAACTTCCATTTATCAAAAAGTATGTTGTATTTGATGGAGATTTTGAACAGATAGAACACATTGTCCCTAAAAGCAGTCATAGTCATAGTGTAACTTCATCCAAATTGTGACGAGATTGTAGCTGGTCGACTGAGTGACAGTTATGTCGATAATGACTTTGATCCTTACCGAATGTTCCGGTACGGGTGATCATATCTATCTATGTGAATGCCAGAAATACTTGCTCCCATAGTTAATGTCGTTCTAACGTGCTCATTGAACACCTATAAGAGAATGGATAACACTACAAAATAATTGTCATATTCCAACGGAAAATCCCACAGTAATATATTCCAATTGAAATTCCAACGGATATTCCAATGGTATAGCTTCCGTTGGAATGATTTCAACGAAAATTCCAACGGAATTATTCCGTTGGAATATGTTTTTCATTGAAATTTTAGATGGAATTTGATGATTCCAACGGCTATATTTCCAACCACTTTTTACCATAGGAATTTCCGTTGGAAATTTTTATTTCTACCCCCGTTAGAAAATCCACCGTTGGAATCGTCAAAATCCAACGAAAATTCCAATGGAAAACCCGTTCCAACGGAATATTTTTGTTGGAATTTCCGTTGGAATCCATTTAAAAATTCCAACGAAAATAATAGTATTGAAATATCCATTGAAATTGTCGTTGGAATATTTTTTTTGGAATAGATTTTCGTTGGAATTTCATCATTTTCTTGTAGTGTAACTAGTAATTGAGCAAATTAATAATTACAATTATTTACAAGGGGTGGTTGAATCTTATACCAGACAATTTCAGCAACCCACCTAATCTTTAAATACACAACCCACACACACTCCCTTTCCCCCAAAAACATCAAACAACGATAGTAATCACTCTACATAAATATATAAAGCCCCCAAAACAACACCACCTTTTTGTTTCCACATAAAATTTCCCCCACCCCACACAAAAGCAGAATGGAAGTCCACCAGCAGCACTACACCAGGCGTTCCACCTCCCTCTGCACCACCGCGGCCGCCTCCTTCTTCAGCCAGGCGGCGGCGGACGACCCGAAACTAACATCATCATCCCCTCCCCATCGCCTCTCCCTCCAATCCCACTACGACCACCACCACGACAACCTCCTCTACAGCCCACCCCACCACCAGGGCTCCTCCTCTCCCTGGGTTTCCCACCCCACCCCTTCCCCCTCCGTCCTCTACCACTGTGTCGCCGCCCTCCACCGCCACCACGGCCTCGTCCTCTCCGTCTCCCCTTCCCCTTCCTCCGGCCTCGTCTTCACCGGCTCCGACAGCCCCCGCGTCCGCGCTTGGCTCCACCCCCACCTCTGCGAGCTCGGCCACCTCTCCTCCCGTCACGGCGGCGTCCGCTCCCTCCTCTCCCACGGCACCACCCTCTTCACCTCCCATTCCGACCTCCGCGTCCGCGTCTGGGACTTCTCCCACTCCCACACCTTCCGCGCCAAGAAAACCGCCACCCTCCCGAAACCTCGCCGCTCCATCTTCTCCTTCTCCAATGCCAGCTCTTTCTCCCGCCACCGTGACCAAATCTCTTGCATGGCTTACAACCCCACGGAGGGCCTCCTCTACACCGCCTCATGGGACAGGACGGTCAAGGCGTGGCGAATCTCCGACGGTCGCTGTGTGGACTCGTTCCGGGCCCACGACGACCGCGTCAACGCGGTGGCGGTCGACAACGACGACGGCTGCGTCTTCACGTGCTCGTCGGATGGCTCGGTCAAGGTGTGGCGGCGCGTGTACGGGCAGAGCTCGCACACGCTGACGGTGACGCTGCGGTTCCAGCCGTC